TACATCTGGTTTAGATCCCCAACCAAATCCGTCATCTTTATTAACCGGTGCTGACGACACATCTGGTTTAGATCCCCGACCAAATCCATTATCTTTATTAACCGGTGCTGACGACACATCTGGTTTAGATCCCCAACCAAATCCATTTGCTGACGATACATCTGGTTTAGATCCCCAACCAAAACCGTCATCCTTATTAATCGATGCTGACGATACATCTGGTTTAGATTCCCAACCAAATCCATTATCTTTATTAACCGGTGCTGACAACACATCTGGTTTAGCTCCCCAACTCGAGGTGGACGTTTGTTCATTAGCATTTGTCTTAACAAATGGTTTTTTCTGATTTAATTCAGCTTCGAAATTTGCCGCCTTTTGCGCCCAATCACCATCGTTATTAACTGGTGCTGAGTTTTTTGTATTAGCACTCCACCCAAAGTCGGATGTCTGATTATTTTTAGAAGAGTGAGCCCATGAATCGTCAGGTTTCTTTTCTTCTGTGACTAGTTTCGAATTTTCGGGTGGCTCTTTATTATTTATCGAGCTCCATCGAATCCACGAATCAATAGAAGTATTTGTCGTCATATTGAATCTTGATTTTTCCCATTCCATTATTTGTTTACCAAAAACGTCTTTAGAAGCATCTTTTTCAATTATGACTTTATTCTCGTTACCCTTCTCTGAAGCCATCGCTTTTACAGTGGAAGAATTGGAATTTGGTGAATTTTCCAACTCATTATTTTTTTCAATAGTATTCGTGGTATTTGGTTTTTCAGCTTCGGTTTTTGCTTTTGAAGAGTTATCTTGATGCCATTGGACGTCCGGAATTGGAGCATTGGGTTCTAATTCTTCAGTTTTTTGAGTATGTGCAGGAGTAACTGTCTCGTCGACCGCCGATCGAATCCATTGGTCATCTTCTGATTTTCCCCCGTCACTAGTTTGTTTAGTAGTAAAATTAGTAGCTGCATCGGTATCAAAAATTTTCTCTTCTTGATTCGATGTAGAGTCGGTTTTTGGTTTTACAGCCGTATCAGACGAATCGATCCCTGATGACGAATTTTCAGGGATAATATTATGTTCAACGTTAGTATCGAAGTCCGTAGCTAAATATTTAAAAGCAAATGTCGGACTCCGTGATGGAGAATAGACACTCTTGTCACGAGCCATACCCCAAGCTACCGGAGGATACGATGTTTGATAGGATGAGCTCTGTGGTATGTCGATCGAAAACTGAGGTTTGGTTTTGATTTTTTCTGCAGTTGGCTTCTGCGTTAGATCAGGATTCGTGTTCAGTGTGTTCTCGTGTGGTTGATCGACATCGATAATACTCGATGCAGGTATCCATTTTCCGGGTTCAGTTTGGGTAGAAGCATCTTTTCGAGTATTGTGAGAAATTGAAGTAGATGATGCTTCAATTATTCGTTTATTAGCATCGTTTCTTTTATCTTTTTGACCAGAGAAAAAATCAAAAGTTATAATCAAAAGGTTCAAATTAAAACAATTTCCAAACAATTTCCAATTAGTTACCACATTCCAGCTCAACAAGTGAATTGTCATGTCTTTGTTTATTTGCGAATAACTCTTCATCAGTATTCGCACGCACTATTTGTTTTTTGGATTTTACATTATCATAGCTTGGGTCCCAATTATCAGCTTCGAACCCAACATTGTCATTGGACTCAATCAGCTATAACGATAATTTTTACAGAATAACAAAATAAAAATTATAATCACGTTTCTATTATAACTAAAACAAAATTATTTGAATAATTACCTGTTGAGAGGGACCATCGTTATTTGTACTTTCGTTGTTGTTAGATGTAACATTCATTGTCACGGAAGCTGTATTCCAATTCGTGGGTTCTGGACCCCAATCAGATGAATTAGATTCTGGAGGCTTACCCCAGCCTTCCTCCATTTGATTATCGTTCTAGCCAAGCAAAGTTGAACAATTAATATCAATCCTCTCCAGCCACAATGTTAAACTATCCGAAATGTAATACTAACACTATCACTTCTCAAGGCGTAAAATTCAAGGTATTGCTTAGCGCAAACACCAGCAGGCCACAAACTCAATAGAATAAACCTCCCAAATCTCCTGAAAAACCACATTATAAAATTCGCACGAATAGAATCACCACCCATGTCGCTCACCTTAAAGTTACCTCTTAAAATAATAATAGTCTTTTTTCAAGAATAATATAAGTTTTCTATCGGAGAAAACGTTCCAGTTAAGCGTCTGTGAGTAATGAAAGCTTATAAAGAAAATTAGTAAAATGGTAAAGTACTAATAGACGCGACGACTATTCTTTAAGTGTTTTGAGCTAGTGTGTAGAAAGATACTCATGATCTCAAAATTTTGGGATTTTATATTTTTTTTGGTATGAGTAACATCACTACAATAATCAGTTGATCATGCATTATTTAATTGACGTATATGTACGTATATCACACAAACATACTTTATTTGAAATCAATCGAGATCTTACTAAAATATGGTGAAAGCTGTTAAAGGTAAGCTAGAAAAGCTTGCTTATTAAAAAATAAATTTGAAATATATATATTTATATTTAAATATATTACAAAAGGAACTATATTGAAATGGTAAATTAATTAATGATTGGTTGGGAAAAATTAATTTTAAACAATCAAAAAAATTACAAGTTTTCTTGTGAATGCATAAAAAATTTTAGTGATCCAGCCGTCAAACAAGTAATCCTGAGCATGAATAACTCCGAACACAAGCCATTCATAATTGAAGATCTCGACGAAACCCATCTTTTTGTCGATACTACACACGTAGAAAGAATCAAAAGGCGAGTGGAGCAACTGCTCGAGGAAAATACTTATAAAGTTGAACAACTACCATCCTAAATAATAGTGATGACGATGAAAATCTATCTCGAGGCGAGGATAATAAAATAATACAATTTTAAGAGAATTATAGTAACATTTGTTTGCCAGATTGAGTGTAATGTAAAAACATAAAAATAAGTTTTGTAATTTCAAAACTCATCATCCTTTCTTTCTCTCATCTTCAAATAAACTCGATCCTCTTACAAACACACTACTATGATCCATGATCATTTCGCCTATACTAAGCCAACCATCAACCGCTTTTTTTATATCTTCATGATTTATGTTACTGGTGTTTAACCTGTTAATTATTATTATATTAAAATATATGAAATAATCCTGTATTTTCTACTAATAGGTAGAAATATAACTTACGTATAACCAGAAGTTCTTCGAATACCTGCCAACACGGTAGATACGAGCGCAGCGTCGACAGCAAAATGAACAAGTTTTGCGAGCATTTTTTTTAATTAAAGTTTTAATCAAGAATAAAGTTTAAAAATAAGATTTTAATGAATGAATGACTGAATGAGCGGCAAGATTTTCCGCAATGAAATTAATGGACTGATTATATGATGGTTTGACACACTATCTATTATCTAAAAATCTATCGCTCAAAAAAATAATAAAAACATGAAATAAACAAATTCTACATTTGGTACATATAACGATAATTAAAATAACGATAATAGAAATTTTAAGTTTAAAGTAATTAGACACTTTCTTCGCGTAATTCTTGGACAAATAACACAAATATTGTAAATAAAATTTCATGGGTCTTTTAGATAAAAATGATAAAATCTTGTTTAGTTTATAATAATAAGTTAAAGTATTCAAGTACCAGGAACCAGAAGTCATGCGTTTTTTGGATCTTTCAAACAAAAATAAAAATATCACTTTTTATATTCAGTGATACAGAAATTCTAACACTATTCAATAATTATTATAATTATTTCTAATGTCAAAATTTTTTGTTTTAAAATTATTTTTATATATTAATATTTAATTATAATATACATTTTTTTTTAGATTTTTTAGATTTAATCTGAAAAAGTTTTTCTAGTTGCAAAGTAAGTTAATTAATTTTTTATATGTTTTAATTATAAAAAATTAATCAACTTACTTTGCAATTAGAAAAAATAAAAAGAATAAATATACAATAGTTTACAAAAGTAATGCATCACTTTTAAAATTTATTATTAAAATATATAGTAAAACCTCTCTTCTTGGAATCATAGTAAAAAAATAAGCAGAGTGTGCACTTAGAGAGGGTGTGTATTTATAGAGAATAAAATACATATATGTCTTACAAGCCATACTGTGCATTTAAAGAGAATTTATATAATACATGCATTTATAGAGGATGCATTTAAAGAGATTGTAATAAAATTAAAAATTTTATTTTCATTAAAGTATTTTAAATTTTATTAATAAAATAAAATTTTTTATATCAAAATAAAGATTATAATATATATTTTAATATATATTTTTTCAGATTTTTTGCATTTAATTCAAAGAAAATATCCTAATTGCAAAATAAGTATAAAACTTTTATTAATTTAAAATATAATAAAAAATTATATACTTATTTTGCAATTAGAAGGTTATAATTTTATTTTAATAGAGGAGAATTGACAAATATTATATAATATTAAATTATTATAAAACTAATCCTTTTTTTCAGATAAAATTTTTATTATATTTAATTAACTAATTATTTTTGGTCATATAAAAGTCGATATCTCTAAGATTTTCTCTTCTTTCTGATAATTATATAATATTTATCAATTTTTCAAAATTTTTATTTTATTAATAAAATTTAAAATATTTTTGATAGAAATAAAATTTTCAATTTTATTATATTTTAATAATAAATTTTAAAAGTAAAATTGTTATTTGTAATAATTATCATTTATAATAATTGTATTTTAATTAATTAATTTAAAATTGTTATAATTAAATTAATTTAATAAAAATATTAATAAATTTTGATATTGTTATATTAATATTATATAATACCAATTGAGAATAATGTAATATAAAAAAATTATTAATAAAATATAATAAAAATATAAAAAATATAAGTTTTTATATAAGAAAAAAAATCTGTATTTTTTGTATTTTTTGTATTTTTACTATATTTTATTAATAATTTTTTATTACTATATATAATTAAATTTCTTTATAATAATATTATATTATTATATATTTTTTATAAATTTAATTTCAAGAATATTTTTAATTATATAAATAAATTTTAATTTTAATTATAAAAGTTTGTAATTAATTTTACAATCAAAAATATTTTTGAAATTAAATTTAAAAAATTTATGTTAAAATACAAATTCTTAGCTTTATTTAATATAAAAATACAAATTTTATTATAAAAAATTTTAATTTTTAATATAATTTATTATTTTTAATAATTTATTATAGAGATGTACAGTAACAATCAGAAATAATGCAACAGCATCAAAATTTATTAATTAAATATAGTAAAACGCAAATTTTTCTCTTTATATAAAAGTTTTTAATTTTACTAATAAATATTTTTTATTTTTACATTAAAATGAAGATAATATCACATATTTTAACATATATTTTTTTCAGATTTAATCTGATAAAGCTGTTCTAATTGCATATAAAGTCAATTATTTTTTTATAATTAAAACATATAAAAAATAATTGACTTTATATGCAATTAGAACAGCTTTATCAGATTAAATCTAAAAAATCTGAAAAAAATATATGTTAAAATATGTAATATTATCTTCATTTTAATGTAAAAATAAAAAATATTTATTAATAAAATTGAAAACTTTTATATAAAGAGAAAAATTTGCATTTTACTATATTTAATTAATAAATTTTGATGTCGTTGATATAATAAAACTATTTTTTTATAATTATAGTCATTGTAAAACTTTATTATAATTATTTATTTTTGATGAAAATAAAATTTTTAATTTTATTATATTTTAACAATAAGCTATTATATAAGAAAATTATCTTTTTATAGTCATACTTATAATAAATTACATTTTTAAAAAATTATTATTTGATCTGACAATATGATTATAAACAAGATTGATTGATTATAAATGTAAAATACAAAATTTTTGGATTTTTTTAGAATAATTAAAAATTGGCTAGTTAAATTTTAAAATTCAATTTATCAAGACATTCAGTTTATAAGAACATCATATAAAAGCTTTTATATTCTTACAGATTTGAATATATTTGGGCAACAAGTATAATTATTAAAATTCAATATTCTATATCGATATCTTCCAATTACAAAAAATGGTCGAACATTTTGATTGGTTTAAATGTACTCAGTGAAAAACATAACATTCTTCCAACAAAATAGTAAAAATTATTCTCAACAATAAATATTTCAACTCTTTATCGTTATTACACAGTCAAATGATCTAACCACGTTCATATAATTTTAAATTAACGTTAATGATAATTCACAATAGGACGAGAGTGAATTGGAGTACAAACGAAAAAAGGCTAAAAGGAAGTGTATCATGAATAAAGTTATCTTTGTGTACATCATCAAATTTTTTTTCGGCAGTCTATTATAGATTTCTTGTTTTGCATTGTATGATAATAAAACATAAATTTTTCTTGTATATTATTCTTCTACCTTATTTACGACTTTTCACGCCATTTTTTTCCTACAAATTAATTTTCGAACACAAAATATAATATATAATATATATAACATATAATAAAAACTGTAGAGGCAAAAGTTTTGGTTTTTTATTTGTTTTTGATTTCTTTTTTGGCTTGTTAAACACGCGAATTCCACGAAACATGAATAATCGACTTGGAGTATTCTCAGCGAGACAAGTGGGACGAAAAACTTTAGCAAGTGGCTCTTCTGCTTACACTAGCTTATTGTCTTCAACAACTGTAAGTACCACTGCCAGTACTACTCTTTCATATCATGTTGCGAAGACGAAAGCAAGTGCTTTAAAAGTTGCAGCTTCATGGGCAGCTACACAAAAAAGGTGGCAAGCTACAACTGTCAGGTAATTATCAGCCGTTATTAGAAGAAAAATAATTTAAAAATATCGATGATAAAAATTTATAATTTAATTAATCGAAACTTTAAAATTAAGCTCTACACAACTTCCAACGCCTCCTGGTTATCCACCACCAATAACACGACGGCATCCACATAATGTAATTCCGATGGCAGAACCACTCGAAAAAACGTATCCCGAATTCGATGAATCTTTTATTGGATTATCAGGCGGTGAAATATTTCATGAAATGATGTTACGTCATGGCGTTAAACATATATTTGGATATCCAGGTGGAGCGATTCTACCTGTGTTTGATGCTATTTATAATTCAAAACATTTTGATTTTGTGCTACCGCGACATGAACAAGGTGCTGGTCATATGGCTGAAGGATATGCGAGAGCTAGTAAAAAACCCGGTGTAGTTTTAGTGACTTCAGGACCAGGAGCTACAAATGTTGTGACTCCAATGCAGGATGCTTTATCGGATGGGACACCCTTGGTTGTGTTTTGTGGTCAAGTACCTACGTCGGCTATTGGAACTGACGCATTCCAAGAAGCTGATGTGGTAGGAATTAGTCGAGCTTGTACAAAGGTATTTTTTTCTGTTTATCAATTTAACTATTTAATATTATTGAGATTAATTTTATATATAATATCATAGTGGAATGTAATGGTAAAAAATATTACCGAAATTCCTCGTCGTATCACTGAAGCATTTGAAATAGCAACAACAGGCAGGCCAGGTCCTGTTTTAGTCGATTTACCAAAAGATGTAACGGCCGCGATTCTCACTAAAGCTATACCAACACGATATTCTCTTCCATTCCGGAAATTTCAGGAGCCATTCTTAACGTCACTAAACGAGAATACCCCTATTAGAGATTTTAGTGATCCTCTCATCTGTCGCGCCGCAGAAATGATAAATAAGGCTAAAAAACCAATAATATATGCTGGCCAAGGCATAATAGGATCAACATATGGGCCACAAAGATTGCGAGAACTTGCAACTCGTGCAAACATACCGGTTACTACTACTTTGCAAGGATTGGGTGGTTTCGATGAATTAGATCCTCGTAGTCTTCACATGTTGGGTATGCATGGATCAGCGTATGCCAATTTGGCAATGCAAGATGCTGATGTAATCATTGCTTTGGGTGCAAGATTTGATGATCGTGTGACTGGACATTTGAAGCGTAAGTTAGTATCGAATCTTTTATAATCAAATTTAATTTCTTATCTTTATTTATTTAATATTTTAATTAGATTTTGCCCCAGAAGCAAAAAAGGCAGCTTCAGAAAATCGAGGTGGTATAATTCACTTTGATATAAGTCGAAAAAATATTAATAAGGTTGTTCAAGCACATACTGCCATTGAAGGTGACGTGGGAAATAATTTGGCAAGTCTATTACCGCATATTGAATTCGCTGAAAGGAAAGAATGGTTCGCTAAAATCGACGAATGGAAATCCAAGTATCCATGGTATTACGCAAAACCGAAATCGAAAAATGATCGTCTAAAACCTCAACAAATAATCGAAGAATTGGAAAAACAAACACAAAACTATAAGGAAAAAGTAATATTAACCACTGGAGTTGGTCAGCATCAGATGTGGGCCGCTCAATTTTTCAGATGGCGTTATCCAAGTACTATGATCACCTCAGGAGGACTGGGCACTATGGGGTATGGTCTTCCTTCGGCAATTGGAGCAAAAGTCGCTAGACCTGATAATGTGGTGATAGATATTGATGGTGACGCTAGTTTTTGTATGACGGGTATGGAATTGGCGACAGCGGCACAATATAATATCGGCGTGAAGGTTTTGATACTGAATAACGATTTCCAGGGAATGGTGAAACAATGGCAGGATTTGTTTTACGAGGAAAGATATAGTGAGACGAGAATGGTGAATCCAGACTTTGTAAAGATGGCAGAGGTAAGCTAAATTTAATATGGAAATATCAACACTTCAAATTCTCTATTTCTTGAACATTAATTCCCAAATATCAATTGCATTTTTTTCTTTACAGGCCATGCATTGTAAAGCTATGCGTATTCGCACAGAAGACGAGCTTCCCGAAAAAATGGCCGAATTTCTGGAATACAATGACGGACCAATTGTATGCGATGTCATCGTGGAGAAACACGAACACGTATATCCAATGGTACCAGCCGGAAAGGCTTTGCATGAGTTTATCGTGCATCCAGATTTAGCATGATATTGGGGGGGGGGGGTTTATTCATTAATAGGAGTTGATCATTGTTAAATTTTAGTGTAACAAACTGAAAAACTTTCTGTATTTTCGAAATAAAAATCGTTACGACTTCAAAATAAATTTTACTGGATGATTGATGATTGGTTATTAAACGCGTGCATAAATTATAAAACGCGTAAACAGGTGTTGTACAAACTTTTGCTTTCACATTATGGCGACTACAAACTTAAATCAAACCAGGAAACTTTCAAAGGAAAGTAGACGCTCTTCAATTCAGTCAGTAGCTCAGCAAGAGGCTAAGTCGTCCCGACGCTCTTCAATCCAGTCAGTAGCTCAGCAAGAGGCTGAGTCGTCCCTACACTCTTCAATTCAGTCAGTAGCTCAGCAAGAGGCTAAGTCGTCCCGACGCTCTTCAATTCAGTCAGTAGCTCAGCAAGAAGCTAAGTCATCCCGACGTTCTTCAATTCAGTCAGTAGCCCAAGAAGCTAAGTCGTCCCGACGTTCTTCAATTCAGTCAGTAGCTCAGCAAGAAGCTAAGTCGTCCCGACGCTCTTCAATTCAGTCAGTAGCTCAGCAAGAGGCTAGGTCATCACGACGCTCTTCTACTCGTTCAACCCATTCACTAAAGAATCCTCTAATCGAGTCATGTACAACCCGTTTGGTAATATCTAAATTGGTGCTCATAAATTTCAAGTCATATGCTGGTCGTCAAGAAATTGGTCCATTTCATAAGGTTTCGTAAATTTCAATTGACAATTATCGTTATATCATGAAATATTTATGATATTGAAAATCCCGACAAAATATTCCTTAGTCCTTCACCTCAGTTGTAGGACCAAACGGTTCAGGAAAATCCAATGTTATCGATGCTCTTTTATTTGTTTTTGGTTACCGGGCGAATAAAATGCGTCAAGCGAAATTATCTGGATTGATTCATTCATCACAAGGCCATGAGAACCTCGATAGTTGTACGGTGCAAGTCCATTTTCACGAAATATATGATATGGTAAGAAGACGGAAAATGGAAAATTTTATTAATTCACATCTATGTTTATTTAATATATTATGTTTCTTATAGCCAGAACCAAATGAATACGAAGTTGTCCCGAATTCTCAATTAGTGATTTCGCGTCAAGCGTTCCGCAACAACATTAGCAAATACTTCATCAATAACGATGCAAGCAATTATACCGAAGTGACTGCTTTGTTAAAGGAACGTGGAATTGATTTGGATCATAAACGTTTTCTTATTCTTCAGGCAGGTAATTTGTTTTATGTCAGCGCACAATATAGGACAAATTACATTATTAACTTTATTATCGAATATGGTCGTGTTATGGTTGATGGTTAATCCAGGGTGAAGTTGAGTCAATATCACAGATGAAGCCGAAAGCACTAAATGAGCATGAAGATGGCCTCTTAGAATATCTCGAAGACATTATTGGTACGTCGAAATACAAAGCGCCTATTGAAGAAGCGAGTAATCAGGTAGAGAAGCTCGATGACGAAAGATCCGAAAAATTGAATCGAGTTAAAATTGTTGAGAAGGAAAAACAAAGTTTGGAGGTATTATTTTAGTTTCTAATTAAATAATTTAATATCACAACGATTCTTCTTTTTTAACAATTTTTCTTTTTATTTCTTTGTTTATTAAAGGGGGAAAAAGCAAAAGCAGAGATGTTTCTTCGTGACGAAAATATTCTTACAACAAAAAAATCGTTTTTTTATCAACGACAGTTGTTAGAATGCAAGAATAACATCGATATTGCCACTGAGGCTGTTGTAAAGATTATATTCATTTTTTGTTTAGTTTATTTTTTCTATCTTAGATGCTGTTATATAATAATATTTGTTGGTAGAATGAATGGAAAGGAAAATTAAATGAAGAACAGCGAAAACACGCGCATATTATCGAAGAAACTAAAAAATTGCAGGATGATGTGGATGAGACGTCTCAAGAATATAACGTAATATTATCTTCTTTCTTTCCCGTTTGCTAAATTACTACTAATAATACTATTAATACTACTAGATCATCAAAGAAGAAACCGAAAAAATCAGAAAACAGTTAGAGAAATACGAAAAAGAGGACATCGGGCTGCAGGAAAAGAAGAAACATTCAACTACCAAACAAAAGAAACTGATTAAAACATTAGAAAAAGTATTAATAAAATCCTCCTTTTAAAAAAACTTAATTTTGTCAGTATTTTACTTATTAGAATATTTCTATACTTTGAAACTTTCATATTAATGAATGTAGGATCGTGCATCCCTATCAATCACCAAAACGTCTATTCAATATCATGAGGAAGACCTGGTCAAACGCGAGCGTGAACTTGGTCAGTTGGAGAAATCGTTACAAAATCAAGAAGCAGAACTGGAAAAAATCCGGCAAAGTCTCAAAGGTGAGAGAAGAAAGAAAATATTTTTGTATTGATTGACACGAATATATATAATCAAAATTATAAAATATTGGTTGATAATTTGTCATACAAATGTTTTAAATGAAGGAAAAACCGAAGTTTACTCGGCCCAAATTGAAGAGAAGCAAAAGGAATTAGCTCCTTGGACCGAAAAAATCAATGCCAAACAATCAAATATTGATGTTTTACGGGCGGAATATGAAATTATTGAAGGCAAAACTCGGGCAATACAGTCTTCACTTGAACAAGCGGAAAATGAGATCATTACCATTGAAGAAACTCGCAATTCAAAGGTTTGTTGTCATCGTCAATATTTTAATTAATATACTATAGATATATTAACGCGTTTTTTATATGATAGAAAACAGATATTGAGGCTGCTCTGGCTCTAAAAGAAAAACTTGCCGATGAAGTTAAGCAAATCGAAAGAAAACTTAAGGTAAATTTTTAATATAGAAAAAGATTTTGCTATCGAGGTTAATAATGATTTTTCTTCATTTTCATTTGATATTACAGAATAACATAGCACTACATGAGGGGTATCAGAATAATTTAAAAGACGCACGACAAAAAGCTAGCGAAGCTGATATTCAGCTAAAACAAGCAGAATCAAGAGGTGCAGTGCTGAAGAGTTTGCTTAAATTAAAAGAAAGCGGTCGTATTAAAGGTCTTCACGTGAGTTTTATTCAATTGAAATTATCAAAACTCTGATTCTTTAAGTCATTTCAACTCAAATTTTTTTATTTTAGGATCGCCTGGGAAATCTCGGCGTAATTGACGACAGATATGACATTGCCATTTCAACCGCTTGTTCCGCTTTAGATAACATAGTCGTGGACACGGTTGACGATGCGCAAGCCTGCATTGAATATTTGCGAAGAAACAATTTAGGTCGTGCAACTTTTGTTGTTCTAAATCAACTTGCGTCAATGAATATGGGAAAAATCGATACTCCCGAGAATGTACCTCGACTTTTCGATCTTGTTAAACCAAAAGAACCGCAGTTCGCACAAGCTTTCTTCAATGTCTTGCGCAATACTCTAGTCGCGAGAAATCTCGAGCACGCAAATCGAATCGCTTTTGGTCGACAACGTTGGCGGGTTGTTACTTTGGACGGAAAGTTAATTGATGTGTCAGGTACTATGACTGGTGGAGGCACAAAAGTAATGAAAGGTGGTATGAGCTCGAAATTCGTGCCTGATATCACACCTACGATGGTGGATGAATTGATTAGAGCGCAAACTCGATGTGAAGAAAAGTGGCGAGAACTTCAAATGGCGCATCAAGAGTTGGAAAGTGAACTTGAACGGAAAAAAGCAGAGGCTCCCAAAGTTGATCTTGACATTTCGAAATTAAAGATGGACATAGATTCAAACAAAAAAAGAATGTCAGATGCTCAAAAGAGAGTCATAGAATTGCGGTAGGTATTACCATGTATACTTAAATAAATATATGCTTTGTAAGATTTTCAAGATAACAATCTTTTATTATAGCCAACGAAATAAATCAAATCCCGAGGATTCAAAGCGAAAACAACAACTTCAATCAACCATCAACAAGTTAACTCAAGAACTTGAAAATCTCAAAACACATCCCGCCTCGATAGAGCAAGAAATAAAAGATCTACAGCAAAAGATTCTTGATGTCGGCGGAGGGAAACTTCGAAGTCAGAAGGCAAAAGTTGATGAAATGCAAGAACAAATCGATTCTCATAATGATCGAATAACCACGTTACAAGTGACGAAAACAAAAGCGGAAAAAGATATCATAAAGTTGCAAAATTCTATTGAGAAATCTGAAAATGAGGCGGAAGAATTGAGCTTGGAAATAAAACAACTTGAAGAGGAGATGCAAGAGAAAGTGTTAGAGTCTCGTGAAATACGTAAAAAGGCCAGACAGTCGGAAGATGTATATATAATTTTTTATCTGTTTTCTCGTTTTTATATATATGTTTATTTTTTGTTTATGCGAAATATTTAGTTAACGGAAAAAAGACGAGAAGATTTGGAGAAAATTCAAAAAGAACTTGATTCAAAAACGGAAGTGATAAACAAAATCAGAGCCGTAGAGGTACTTGTGATTAATCATAAAAACTTATTCAAATTGGGATTAACTTTTTTAATATAAAATATAAATAGGTGGAGCTCAAAAATCGATTAGAAGATAATGAACGTCATTTAGCTGAAAATCAACTTAGATATGATCATTGGCGATCGTTGCATGGAAAGCTATCACTTCATCAAATCAAGTAAGTATGAAATAAACAATTTGTGATAATCTTCCGATGGATGGATAGAATAAAATAAATTCATAAAAATAGTGGCGGTGAAGATTGTGATGAGTCAGATGGAGTTGAACTACAGATCTACACAGATGACGAACTAAGTGCGGTCAACAAAGAAAACCTCAAAAAGGAAATTGATGAACTCGAAGGTTTGATCTGCTTTATTATAAGGATATTTATGATTTTTGTGTATTTATGATTTTAATTTTAATTGAACAGAGAGACTACAAAAAACCCAGCCAAACTTAAAAGTACTTGTCGAGTATCGTCAACATGAAGAAGAGTATATATCACGCGCGCGAGATCTCGAGGAAATAACAACAAGTCGAGATGCAGCGAAAAAAGAATACGATGAACTGAGAAAACAAAGACTCGAAAAGTTTATGCAAGGTTTCACGTTGATATCTCAAAAACTTAAAGAAATGTATCAGGTAGGACTAACTTATTTTAATCATCACATTATTTTTTATAAACTCAACATGTTTTGATTAAACAGATTATCACTATGGGTGGCAATGCGGAACTCGAGTTAGTAGATAGTTTGGATCCATTCTCTGAGGGAATATTGTTCAGCGTCATGCCACCCAAAAAGAGTTGGAAAAATATTTCAAATTTGTCTGGTGGAGAAAAGGTTTATTTTTTTTATTTATTAAAAAAATAACTTTGAATATTATTATTATTTATTTTATTATTTGCTATAGTTCTAATTTGAATATTATTATTAATTAGACTTTGAGTTCCTTGGCACTAGTATTCGCATTACATCATTTCAAACCGACTCCGTTATACGTAATGGACGAAATTGATGCTGCACTAGATTTCCGAAACGTGTCGATTGTAGCCAATTATATCAAAGAACGCACCAAAAATGCACAATTCATCATAATCAGCCTTCGAAATAACATGTTTGAGCTGGCAGATCGGTTGGTGGGGATTTACAAGACAAACAACATGGTTCGTGTGACACTGCATATATTCAACATTTGTATGTCGTATAATTGGTTCGAAATTCTGACGTCATCATTTTTTAGACAAAATCCATTAGTATATCACCTGAAAGTATAATGTAATTTTTTCGCCTCCTAGAAATGACCAAGTTTCATTTTTGAGGAAATTAATTGTCTCGTGAACTATTTTTCTAAATTTACTTAATTACCAACTTGGCAAAAGGAGGATGATTACAAACTCTTGAATAGCTCCTTAGACATAGAATTCTTCACATTAGGGGAATTTCTACTTTTTTGTGATAACAATAACTGATATATTTAGCATGTGGAAGAGTTCTAAGTTGCATGGCTTCCTTCTCTTTTGACAATGATATTATTAATCGCGCACAGTGCCAGCTGATATATATATATATTAATCTCGCTTGATTCTTGTTTCGCAAGAGATTAAGATGATAAGATAAAGAGTGGTACTACGTACTATTTGCACTATTCGCACTATTCGCACTATTCACTATCTAATTATCGATAGCGGTTTTTTCCCTTGTATTTTACTCGTCTGCTTATCACCGAAGTATTATAATTGATTGACTGATTGATTGATTGAAAGAGTATCTAGTATTTTCAGATAAAAGACACATTTCTCTTGAAGTTTTACAAACAAAAAAAACCCTTTACTTATTCAATATCTCAAGATATTTATTTCGTTGAAATAGCTGTAAAGTCATATTATTCAATTCCCTTTTAATATTTCTTCAGAAGTTCACTATGGTCACTTTTCCTACTGACTATTGGGCTCCCGCGCTTGACGTTAACGTACGTCGTCGCTGCTACAGTGTTGAGAAACCGCAAAAACGAGAACGTCTTCCAGCATTTACAATCCCAAACTCAAAAGACGCAAAGAGTGGTGATAACATGCCCTTTGTTTCAAGTCCTGTGGCTGCTCAAAGTGAAGACAATCCTTTCACAAAAACCGACATTTCGTCGACACTGTCTTCTTCATTTGGCTCTAACACCAACACCAACACCAGTACCTTGCCAACACCAACAGAGCCAAGAAAGATGACGTTGGTGCAAAGTATGCAACGTCTTTTCGTGCATGACTCAAAATCACAGAGTAGCTCTCCAGTCGGAAGTGTAAAGGACGACGACGATACCGAAGAACTGTTTGACACGACACCGGATAATAAAATAATGTTCAAGGACATTCTTACTCCGAGACTTGACATCGATAATAAATATTTGCCAACGAGAAGTGACTCGGGTTTTTTTAGTGACTCGGGATGCATGTTAGTTAAAAAATATGGTATATGTGATAAAGGTTGTATTGGGCAAGGTGCGACTGCAGTCGTCCGTTTAGCTCATAAACTGGATCAATCGGACAAGGCGACAACATATGCTGTCAAGGTATAAATTTGCCAAATTTGATCTTAAGCTTAATACTGACCATTCAATTCAAAAAATATCTAATAATGTCAAATTAAACGTCAAATTAAACTTTCGTTAATTATTTCAGGAATTTCGAAAAAAAAGAAAAAACGAATCAGAAAAAGATTACATCAAAAAGTTAACCAGCGAATTCTGTATTAGCTCCGCACTTCAACATGTAAATATAGTTAAAACTGTAGATTTGGTTCAAGATGACAATCTCGCTTGGTGTGAAGTCATGGTAAGTTGAAACTTTATTTTACTAAAGTTGTAAATAAACTTTATACGCACACACTAATTCCTAATATAAATAATCTCTCTTATTTAAGGAATATTGTGCTGGTGGTGACTTGTATTCCGCAATCAAATCTGGTCATATGACTACAATTGAAATAAATTGTTGTTTCAAACAACTTGTTCACGGTGTTGGATATCTACATTCCCTGGGTGTAGCACATAGAGACATAAAACCCGAGAATTTATTGCTTGATGACAAGGGTCATTTAAAGATTACAGATTTTGGTATCTCAGAAGTATTTAGAACTTGTTGGCAAGAAGATACACGTCTATCCAAAGGATTTTGTGGTTCTGGCCCGTACATTGCTCCGGTAAGCTAATTAATAATTACCCTCTTTATAAAAAGTATGTAATTTAAATCTAATGCCCCAATTTATGATAATTTATAGGAACAATTCGATACAGATAAAGAATACGATGCCCGACTTGTTGATGTATGGGCATCTGGCATTGTTTATCATTGTATGATCTATCAAGGTATTCCATTCCGGACCGCGACTCCCTCCGATCCAAATTACGCAAACTATCTAGAAACGAGAAACACTGGACAATACGAACTGATAGAAAGGCTCCCACGTGGCTGTCGTAACCTTTTGTACAAAATTCTTGAACCGGATGTCAAAAAACGGATCACGATTGATCAAATCAAGGAGAACAATTGGTTCAAGTCTATCGAAGTTTGTACCGATTCTTCTGTTATTCTTTCGCATCCACATAATCATATTCCTCCAGAGTATCTAAAAGAGATTAAAGCAGCAAATTCTTCCAACAACAATAATTTGAAAAAGTAATTACGAAATAATGTAAATTTTATTAGATAATTTCCCTTATATAATAATATTACTATTGCATGCCTCATTCGGCACCACTGATTCTTTCTTTGTATTATAATATATGGCTTGTCCCTTTACTAGCTAACTATGTCGAGCGAGATTGAGGGAATAAACAAACGAATGGAGCTGGCTCTCTTTATTATTAGTATTAGTATTTTCTTAGAAGATTTTCTCGTAATTTTTTTACACATAATTAACATCTTTTACCATTTTTGTTACTATTAAGAAGTTTTCGTTTTTTTATTTCAATCCATCATTTGTACAGCATTCATTAATTTGAACAATAGAATCTCTATGCTCTGTTATTATCAATATTATCATCATCATTATAAAATGATAAAATTAGATTACTTATTTTTTGTATATTTTTTACATCATTTAAAAAATTAATATACATATTACATCTGAGCTTTTTTATCAAAAATAAATTTATTAAAAGTTCATTAAATATTGCATTTATTTTTTTTAAATTTTTTCATCAGCCAAATAATCAAATACTTGCACAAAGAAAGCATGGTATTTGCAAATTAAAAGATTTGTACATATTTTTCTTTAGTTTTAAAAACATTTTATTTATTTTTTTATTCTTACAAAAATAGATTTTGGCAACCATTTAATAGGAATTTTTTGATTAACAACTTAACAATATAATTTAGTTATCTAAGAGTAAGGTATTTTGTTAATATTATATATTATATTATATATTAAAAAATTAAAAATAATCAGATTAGCAAATAGGTTGATTATTGCAATTTTTCTGGTCAAAATTATAAAAATCTATAAAAAATTGCAAAAAATATGAAAATGCAAATTTATACAGATTTTGGTCAAAAAAATTATAATAATTAGCTTATTATAGATTTTTTGTAATAATATCAATAAATACTTATATAATTAGATCTTCATAAAAAAACATAGTTAAAATAGTCAAATTGTATTTTATCATAGAGATTGTTCTTATATAAAGATTATTTTTAATATAAATACTAATTCATTGATTCTCAAAATTATATTTTTATGTAAATATTATTTTTTTATAGAGTTATTTTATAAAAATCTAATTCAGAATTTTTTTAATTTTTTAAACTTTGAAATCTGTTAAAATATAAATTTGGCTTTAATATTTTTGTAATATAATTTCAATAATTTTTGTATAGTAAATTTTCTTAAATAACTAAATAAAATTATTTATCAAATATAAAAATAATTGTTTGTTAAATTTAAAGTCTTTTAAAAAACTTTGCATTAAATTATTACTATTTTCATACAAAATTAATTTTATGTTTTATATATATATATTGTAGTATAATTTTAATAATTTTTGTAATGTTATAATATAAATTTTAATATATTATATAATTTATTTTACTTTATTTTAATTGAATAATTAATTATTTATATTATCTTAATTATCATATTAAATATTATAATATGATTTTGAATATTTATATCTTCAATAGTTATTGGTTTTTAAACTTATATTAACAATATTAATACTTGTTTAATACTTGTATAGTGGGATACCACGCTATAATCTAAATACCACGCTATAGTGTGAATACCACGTTATAATCTAGATATCACACTATGATCTGAATATTACACTAAAAGCTAAATATCACACTATAACCTAAATATCATGCTATAATCTAATGACTACGACCTGATCACCACGCTTTAATCTGAATACATAACCTGGTTACCACACTTTAATCTATTCCTTTTATTTTGATGCAATCTCTGTTTACATCCTAGCTATATTTTTATTCCTTTCTTGGTATCTGTATTTTTCTCTTATGTATGATTTTATTACCACGTTATAATCTAAATACCCCCCCCCCCCACACTTTAACCTAGGTACCTCTCTTTTCTTCCTGTTTCTACTCTATTTGTAATTTAAGTTATATATTGTTGATACTGACCTTCCGCGTCTGATTGAATGTCAAATTCTATATTGAAGTACTTACCCTTTGTGCCTATTTGGTTGCCTTTCTAGATACTGAAATAGTGTAAAAAAAGATGTCGGGTGGCGCAGTAATTCGATCTAGATCTGCGATTAATTTTGGCTGGACACTATGTCATAATTCCGGCCGATCTTTTGGGCATGTGATTCGAGGATCCAGCTTGGTACCATGATGGTGACTTGATAGTGTTGGAACATTCCTAGAACTATCGAGGAACTGGGCCGTAGGCGCTTCGCACAGGGATCTAGGATGATACATGTGATACGATATACAGTAAGTACATCATGCCACAACTGATTTAGCCGGCGCTGTGCATATGCATGTAAATATAAAATTAGCTTAGCCCGAAAGAGGATCTATATAAATTCCAATCTAATAAAAATGAATTCGAGTTTAGCAATATGTAGTCTCACTAAATTGGCTACGAATAAATAAAACTGCTATAATTCATTAAAACTGCTTAACCAGCAAATTCGTATAAATTTGAATCTGATATTTATTAGAGTATAATATTGCTAAATCAGCTAAAATTGCTAAAACATTATAAAATCGTTATAATCTGTTATAATCTACTAAAACACTATTATGGATTTAGATAGTAGAGCCCAATATAAGCTAGTTTCTGTAGGCTATAGTGATGTAAACTTCGAAGAATATAGAAGAATATTAGAAGCATTATGTCCTTTAGGTGAACGATATGATCATGAAACACCAGAAATGTGGTGCTCTCGCATTCGTGATCCATTTAGAAAAATACTTGAAGAGAACCCAAGAATTCTTTCTAAGAATGGATATATTACAATGTATGGAAATTTATATGAACATGATAAAGTCCATGGTCTTCCATCAAATTACATATATTGTAGTGTATGCGACTCCTTAGTTTTCATACCTGAAAATGGTCGTAGAGTTGATCCATATCGAGATAACCACTTGAAAAGATGTATTCCAGAAATACTATTTCGAATGAACATGCAAGAAGAAATGAAATTCTCAAATCTATTGATAGAAGGGAATTTCAGATCTGGCAATATAAACAATACATATTACAAGAAGAAGCTAAAATTAATCGTCTTTGTCTAGAGCTTTTCTCCCATTCTGCCTCACACTCAGAAAAGGATAAGTTGGCATCAGTATCATATGATCATGATGCGAATTTCATAGCTAGATATGAAAATTATGCACAATCTAAAGCAACTGTAACAAAAAATACTATGCCAAGTGCTCCAGATTTAAATCCATTTCGTGTTTCACCTGCCAGGCAAGAAATGATTCCACCAACTTCTTATCAGTCATCGAATTGCAAAAGCGATACAGGCGAAATATTTATCTCGTCTCGGTATGCAAAACAAAATAACTTACTACCATCTATAAATAATCTTAATCAGCCTGCATTAAGATTGGAAGATAGGATAAAAATCACATTCGTTTAACTGACTTATTCCGAGAAATATATTAATTATAAACTATTACTTTCAATCGAAGATTAATATCATTTAGCCAAAAATGCAATATATAACATTCTTTATTTTTTGCGCTATATAATCTGCATGCATGATCGCCTGGTAAAATTGTGAAATGTATCACCTGCCGGATAAAAAATGTGATCTGCATATTCTGGGTTAGATCCTCCAATATACTGTATAACTATTTTAGGGGGACGTCTTTCAGGAAGATCTATGAAGTAGTCTTGGGGATTCTTGATTGCGAGACAATATAACTATCAGTTTGAGAATTTCTATGCAACAGTTATCCAGCAAGCTTATAGGAATTACAAGAAAAGACCTGAATCTTTGGCAAAATGAATTTGGGAGATGGTGAGGAATGATGGTACTATACACCTGATGATAAGAAGTATTTAGGTGTTATTCTTCGGAAGATAAAAAATTCTTATACTCATCAACAACATGATACAAAGGATATATACGAGGAATATTATTTTCCAGTGAATTATCCTTTTGAGTGAATAAGCCAGTTACTATATCGGCTATCTGAAGTATGGTGCGGGAAATTATAACTCTACAATAAAATCATATAACTTTAAAATCTTTCAACTTTCTAAAAAAGCAATATT